CGCACCCTCTGTTGAAGACCTCAGCCTTTAGTAGTTTTTGGAGCACATATTTTTTCACTTTTACTTGAGTAAAGAGGTCAAGTTGATACTTCAACTTTTACCTGAGTGTTTTTAAACTGCAGTATCTATTCTTCTACTTAAGTAACAAATGTGTGGACTTTTGACACCCCTGTATATCACCCTGCCGTATTTATAATGATTAGACTCTATGTTTATTTTCCAATTTCCACAGTGGTGGTCCCCCAGGGGGCCCCACTTTGAAAGCCCCTGGTCATTAAATCGGATGTAATGCACTCTAAAAGTTGGAAAACAGGTTCAATGGATGAAATAATCTATTCTAGGTTTTATTTTCCATCCAAACCAAACCATGTTAAAAGGTAAAAATGCACCGAATAAATAGATATGAATGGGTGTCAGGTTCAGCGGTGCTTCCAGGTGATCTGGTTTCATCAGAAAATGACAGCGGAGGAAAGTCTGACTCACCTGCATTCGTGTTGCGGAATCCCAGCACCGAGTGGTAGAAAACCAGCAGGTATGTGAACCACATAGAGGCGCACAGGTCGTTAAGGAAGTGTCCCACCGCATAGCTGAGCCTCCGGACTGCGGGCAGAGACCTCTCCGGGTCCGACATGCTGGCACGCGACCAACGAGCACGCGCTTCACTCAAACCGAGCGGCTGAACAGGCTTCAAATCATCCTAAAAGTTCAGCTGCTTCGAGCTTCGCTTCAAGAAACAGCCGCTGTTTCGGTTCCCTTTTTCTTTTTCAGCAGCTTTCTTCTCTAATAAACTCCAAACTGAAGGATTAATCCATCAGTTTGTGATCTTCTGTCCTGTTTCAGTCAGCTGAAAGAGCCGCAAAGTCAGGATGAGCTTCCCAGGCAGGAATACAAACTGAAACTAAACACCAGCGGAAAAATTAGGGATTTCCAGGCCAGGTGTAGAACTTACATGTAAATTACCTTAAGCAAAGTTAACCAGCGGAGCGTTTAAGGGGCACGAGACGAAAGCAGAAAGGCTAATAAAGAAAACACCGCTTTTTATGTTAAATCCATGAAAAGCTGTTGAGTTTCTGCTTCTCTAGACATTCCTCAGAGGTGCTCCTCACAGAGGAGAGCATGTGACATGTCCGCAGCTGCCTGCTTCCACTTCTGCTAGCGTTCATCTGGCTCTAGAGGATGTAAACAATGCGGATCGCCCGGTAACGATGACGTAGGGATTCCAGTTGACCAATCAGCAGCCGCGCGCTCCTCTCAGCCATTCAGATCGCGGGAGGAACTTCCTGATCCAAGTCACTTCCGCTTTCATGTTAAATAAAGCAATCATGTGATCCGGTCACATATGTAACGTTTCTTTTTTTTTTTAATGATTACTTTTGTGCATTTTTAGCCGAATTTAACCTTAATTGACAGAAATTTCAAATTTTTCAATGTATGAACTGTCGTTGAACTTTCTGACAAATTAAATAAAAAACATTCATTTTGTTTAAGTTATATTAGATCATTTATTTTGATCAATCTGTAAACAGGCATTTCTGTATATTTTATACGTTTTCTGTTCACTGCATGTGTCTGATTGTGTAAGTCAGGGTTTCAAGAAAAAAAATATCACAAAGATGTTCCAGAGGTCTAAAAAACGTATCAAATATGATCCACTTGGCTTTAAAGGGGTAAATGAATGGGATGATAAAAAGCAGAAATATCTATTTTATGCTACCTTTAGTTCATGATCTTATTTTTTTATTTATTTATAAGATCTGCTTTAAGAAGTTACATTATCTTGGTATTAAATTATTCAAAACATGTTGTGAACGCCCTTTTTTCCTACAAAAAAGTCAGTTTTCTTATCTGATCGACGCAGCCATCTGAACTATATGCGAATTAACTTAAAAATAAAAGCATCTGTCTTTATTAAAAATGTTTTCCTCCATTACTTTTATGATTTCAATATTTTAGAAATGCTAATGTTAGTTTAGTTTTATTTTCATTAGCTTTGCCTCCTTTTTTATTTAAGTTCATTTTCGTTATAGTCTATTGGTATTTAAAAAAAAATGTATAAAACTGTCTAAATATACTTACTGTCAAAAACAAATAACACTCTAAGGGCTATGGTGTGGGGCCAGGGTGCTGCAGCAAGAGCGGCCTCTGCTGGGCAAAAATCTTACAGCACCCTTGCTATCCGCTGCTCAACAGACCAATGGTTGAGCAGCGTTCAGCGCTCAACAGACCAATCACTGAGCGAGGATCCTGCTCAACGGACCAATCAGCGTCCGTCCTTCACCGGGCCGTTCATTCAGACCAGCGATAAACTACTATGGAGGTAAGATGCTTTTCTCTTCTTCTTTCTTCCATTTAATCTAGCGATATACCCTTACAGATCTAAAATATTTATAATTAATTCTTTTTCTAAACAGGGCTTTTAGTTTCACAAATATTTGCTAATTTTGACTAACAAGACTTCTGTTTATGCGTTTTTTCTTCGTTTTTTTTCTCCTTCTGCCGTCTCAATGAAGTCAAACAAACTTTCAATTATTTTTCTGACATTTCGACCGAACCTGTCATGAAGTATTAGTTCATAACATGACGACATATTTCTAAACAAGGGTAACACGACTTGTTGAATGAAGAGACAAGCCCTGGATTGGTTGTTTTAATGTCTGGTAGGATTAAAAGTAAAATTTTCTGTACAAATATCATGATAATAACAGTAATAGCTCATAAGTTTTTAATTTAAAGACTGATATCTGCTATTACAATGCATAAGCATTATTCTTCATGACAGGAGTGGTCTCTTCATTTGTTCCGTGGCTTTATGTACTATCTATATATTATGAAATATATCTTTGAAAATATAAAACTAGGGAAAATATACCTTAAAAATAAATTACATGTTACAAATTGAAGAATTCAAATCTTATGAGGAAAAGTTGAAACAACGCTGGATGTAAACACCTGCATGA